TTCACAAATTGTTCTAATTTCAAGTCTCCAGCTGTCAGGTTGTCCATCAAATATCTTAACGTTCAGCAAAACATGGAAGAAGCTAATCAAAACCTTAGCTCACTTTGAATGCTTTAAGGGGAGACATCATATGGTATTCTTTACCTGGGTCACAATGTTGTTGTATTGTGCAGTCAATCATCTATGCACTGTCAAAATGGTATTGATCAATGCTCATGTTCTGGTGTAGTTTCAGTTTAGTAAGAATGGATTAACAGATATTTACATGTATCTATTATACTGAGGGTAGCATGTGTACTTAAAACATCAGAAAGCTATAATGCAAAAAATTAGCAAATTGTTCAAAATTAACACACTGTTGGAGTTAGTAACAGCTATCTGTTCTTCACTGACATATAAAAAAATAACTTTTCATCAATCTATGTAGAGAGATCAGTGTTTGCCTAGAGTTTTTCAGACCATATTTGAATATTTCATTTTTTTAACTGTGCATCTCAAATGTGCACTAATTCCCATTTGTGTTTCACCTGCTTATATTTCAATCAGTCTAGGAACTCTGTTTTAACTGAGTAGATACTGTTCTTGATTCTTTCCTGAGCTTTAGGTGTTCAGTGTCAGGTTGGATGGGGCTTTGAGCAATCTGTTCTAGTGAAAAATATCTCTGACCATGATGAGCGAGTTGGAACTAAATAATCTTTGCACGTCCCTTCTAAACCAAACCATTCTGTGATTCCTGAGAGTACAATGGAATTCAAGGGCAATTTCTACATTTTCATTCCTCTTAGATGCCTCATCTTGCTTCTACCCACCAAAGGAATCTTGTTTAGCAAATGGACTAATTTTTTGCTAGACATCAGATAAGTAGAAAGCAGCTTTACATATTCTGTTCCACAAGTGGCTTACAAATTGTTGTATTATCACAGAGTAATGGAACTGGTTTCTTCTAAGTTTATGCTGGGGAAGTGCACTAAATTCCAGTTAAACGCATTAAATCATATTTAATTTACACATACTCAGTCTACGTGGCTGCAATTGCCGTGTATTCAAAGTGTTCGTGTGTGAAAGAGGAAGCAAGTCGAAGGATAATATTTTTTTTGCAGGGACATATGACCCCTGCCATGAAATTTATTTTTGGAACTGGATTTATAAAGGAAATAATGACTACAGTTTTGTGATCTTGCTATGGCTTGATTTGTTTCTGAGATAACGAAAACCAGAAATGTTCTAAAATTATAAAATTTTACTAGCATCTTAAAGGCTTTTAAATTATTTGGCATTCCATACCTGATGTCATGAGCTGACTTAGGAGAATAAAAAAATCAAAGTATATTTTATGATAAAAACAAATACTTGAAAAAATCAGAGATGGCTTTTTTTCCAATGTGTAGCACAGAATGCATATGGAGTAGTTATACCGATAGCTATTAAATATAGTAAGTTTCTGTCCTCTTTTTTTTTTTTTTTCCCTACATCTCCTGTATCTGCAAAATTCACCAGCGTTGGAGATACACAGAAATGAGAATTAGCTAAAGCTTTCTCTCTTAAAACTCAAGTTTATTTTATCATGTACTTATCTTCTCAACTGTGGGGATATATATGCATATTTTCATAACCTGCTTAAACAGATACCTGCATCTCTAAATAACTGATGGCTGCATTCTTCTTGGTATGCTCATAAGCCTGTTTCATTTTTCTCTGTCCTCTTTGTTCCCTCTATTCTAGTATTTTAATTCAAAACGTTTCCCTTGTTGTACATATTAGTGTTACTGCTTGTCAAAGCATAACTTTAGTGAATGACACTGCAGGTCTCATAAGAAATAATTAAATTGCTTCTTTAATAAGCAGCATATTTAATAAATCCATACAGAATCAGTAGAAATTGCTTGTGATTTTGCTCTACTTCTAAATTAGTTTGTATATAATCCAAAGCTTTCTGAGCCTTTGCTGTAACTCTTTACAAATAGCAGTGATAGGGCAACTTATTTTTTATTCCCAATAGAAGATTTTGCTGCTGGGTCATACTGCATTAACTGCAATCACATCTATATTTTGTGGCTATAAATACATTGTTTTTGTGAAAATAAGTATATGTGAATGAAGTATAAGTTCTGACAAAAATAAAGCCTATACGCTGACCCTTCTGAATTGATTTAATGTCTCAGAAAATCTTGAGATACAAAGTAATACTCAATATATTACATCCTAAATGAAGCCATTCACTTCTGATTTAATATTATGTTCACTGCTTCTTAAAAGAACTTCTTCATTTGCTTATTACTTTGTCAAAGTTAAGTTCTGTGGTGAGAGGGAGTGAACATTTACATGTCTAGTGGTTACCTCAGCTTGTGGTTTGTTGAGCTTTTGGTAGGGCTTTTTTCCTGTTTGGGTATGGTCTAGCTATCTCCAAGATGAGGGAAAGAAAAAAAAGTGGGTCTATGTAATGAAATGTGTTAATCTGTTTCCACTGAAAGGCTATAATACTTCCATGATTAAGGGCAAAGAACAAAGTAAGGGCAGAAAAAAAAGTATTTTTCGGGCACACTGGTGCCCATTTGTACCTAAGAAAAAGAGACAACCCTATATCCCAAGTCTTTGCATATTTTAGAACTAGCAGTATAGTAGAAATAAATGAAACTAGCATCTGTAGAAGATTTTTGAGTTTCACAGCTAAATTCTCAGTATAATGACAGATTAAGGATTAACAATGGGGAAAAGGAAAGAGGGAGACTGAAACAGAGATGCAGTTATGGACACAATTTTGGCAGAATGACTTTTGAGAGTTAATGGAAGACAGATTATCTCCTGGATCTTGAGAACTGACTCATGAAGGCTCAAGTGGGCTTGCAGGCTTAAAATAGCCACTCTCCGCTTTTTTTCTGTGAATGTACTGGTAGCGTGTGTGTCTTGCCTCCCTTAGTAGTGCCCTGTTAAGTAAGGTATCTCTGTAACAGCTAGTAAGTGCTGTGTTGGCTCAAGTAACAAAAGTCTGCGCAGGGAATCTAAATTTTCCAGCCTCTTTGTGGCTTGAGTGACTGGTTTCATATGAAAAAATTCCTGTATAGTTTAGGGGCTTTTTCCTCTTTGTTTTGTTCTATTTAAAAACAGGTGAAATTGTATCCGTGTGAGAGTGAGCTAATAATTTAAACCAAACCTCTTCTAGATTACCTCTGATTAATTTTGTATTATTTTAGGAACCAGAGGCTGGGCTTTTGGAAATGTTTATCATTCTTATTTGCAGCAAATGTCCCTAGAAGGTATATGTGGATCTTTATGATGCTAAATATTGACAAACAATGCCCTTTAGGCATCCCAAATTAATAGCTACTATATCTCATAGTAAATCTTATCTGTAAAGAGGGTCTGTAATACTAATCTATAATAATCTCTCATCTCTAAAATGGGATAATACTGTATCTTCCTTTTTATTGTAAAATAAATTATATATTTGTGAATTTTTTGCATGCTATAGCAATGAACACTGCAGAAAAACACATAAGAAAAATATGATGCTGATTTTAAGGAAAGATAAACTACACAAAGCCATGCCTGGAATAGTGGCAATAAAACATCACTGAATGAGGTTTCAGAATGTGAGAAAAAAATAGTCAGTGGCTATAAATTAAGGCTTGTATCATAGTGTCTACTTAGTGGGGGCTGAACTATGGCTGCATGACTAACCTTTTAATTCATAACCTGTGAGTGCCTTATTTTTCAGCCTGCATATTCTTTTCATAGGGCCTTTTGTGTATGTGTAGTCTCACAAAACAATGTGCTCATATAAAGTTTTCAGGTATATTTTTTGTCACACTGATTTATTACTAATGTATACATAATAAATAACACCTTGAATAAGAGATCTGCTGTGACCTATTTTCCCTCCTAACAATAACATGAAAGATTTTTGACCTTCAAATTTCTAGTAATGTCTGTCTGTTCAGGTATCTGCTTTATTATTTTTTTTTTATTATTATTATTATTATTTTTGTATATACATACTTCCCTAAATTAAATTCTGCTAAATTCACAAACATTTAAATTGCTGGTAGTCTTTGTATAATGTAAATTGCATATGTGCACCATTACTACATTTTGACTTAGAAAGGCTAAGCTTTAATAAGAAAACATAAAGATGCAACTCTTAACAAACTTCACTGAGTTTTATCAAGTCAAATGGTTAGTTATATTACACATTAATAAAACTTTGGAGAAGATATTTACATCTATTTCTGTATTTTCATATTTAGCTTGGTACCTTGCAAATTGCATTACATTAAATCTAGTGTTAAACTATTTTGGAAATAAAAAAGATGTTTCACAGAGTGCACCTCACTTCTTGATAGCAATTTATAATTTCCTTCATTAAATGTGGCTGAGGCTCTTCTGGCAGTGCAGTTTGGTTATTTTTGTTCTTCCATGGCTGCATAGCAGTTTTAAAAATTTTCTCTTGACTTTCATGTATTTTCAGCTATCATCACTGGTTGTCTTGTACCATTCCCCCTGAGTGTATGTTTGTATTTATTATTTTAAACAATAACATTATGTATCCAGATAGGGGTCCCATTAACATTCTGTTTTACTTGAAATTGACAAAAGTTTGCATCAAAGAGTTAAGCTTCATGAAGTATATTTTGTATTGTTACTGAACGGTGGTTCTTCCCTTTTCACCATATTGTGAATTTTTCACCACTTTGCATGACAGAACAAGAAATCTGAAATGCTCAGCTTCACACATCATGTTTCTGAGAGGCTTCATTATTTTGTATAGTATTTTGTATAGTCTTTTGTATAGTCGTATTTAATGCAAAAATGTAAGAAAATAGACGTAACATGTACATGATGTGATTATAGGTGGAGGCATGTGACTGTCTCAAGTTTTTGTAAAAGCACTGGCATGTCAAACTTATTTGATTGGAGCAGAACCAAATAAAGAAATTTTGGAACATTCAGTTAAAAGTAATTTAAACTTACAGTATTGTTTTTGTTCTTGTTTCACTGAGCAGTATATTAATCAATCCTGGAAACCATGTCAAGATTCAAGAAGGTACGTTAGGATTCTTCATTGCAAGTGATGCCAAAGAAGTAAAAAGGTAATTCTTTTATTTTTAGCTTTAAATTTGTCTGTTTAAAGATTCTCAGAGGAAATTAAGTTGGTACTCTAGTGAACCAACCATTTGTGTGTGCCATTTTCTTAACTACAATCCTAAATATCAAGGAAATGAAATAATTTTACAGCATATGAAAAGAAATTTAGAGGCTTTTCTTCTGACTGACTCCTAATAGAAAATGTAAAATATTTTTATCTAATTTCTCTGTAATGAATTTGTCTCAGAGGAATTACTCTTTAAGAGAGCAAGGTTTACAGCTTTGACCAAGTTTTAGGTTTAGAGTACTTGTTACTTTCATAGATTTTAGCAAATATTTGACATGAGCAAGCAATTGCATTAGCATACTAATATTTATGTTCTTGTCGTTTCTCTTTGCTGCAACTATTGGAATATACTTTATGGCCTCATAATAATAAACAAAACTACAACAGAGCAGTATTTTCCAACCACTGTAGACAACCTCACTGGTTTGTTATACTTGGCTGTATTAGAGTTAGGTTGAATGAAAAGGGGGTTTATGGTATTATATTTAGGACCACACATGTGTAGTCTTTTTTGTTAGGATTATAATATGCTTGGAAAGAACAAGAAAGCAAGGTGAGAAAATAATTTTTAAAGGAAATAATTACTTGATGTCTGTAAGATCTAAAAAATAAAAAAGGAATTTTTGCAGCTGATAATTTGTATTTTGGTTGGAAGTCATGCTATCAATAATCTCATTTTTACTTGGTTCTCCTTGATTTAGATATTTTTAACTACACCTTGTAGTTAGAACTACAAAATATTCCAATTATAACCTTTACTAAGTCCTAAACCTTTTATGATTAAATTATAGTGAAAATGATACTTAAGCAATGCATGCTTGCCACAAATATTAAAAGAAAGTCAAAATATCAAAACAGTGAAATAACTGAGAACTTGAATTATTTTTTCGTTGAAATAGCTAAAATAGCTTTTAGCTAGGTGAAGCACAAAGAACAGAACAGCAGTGCTCCTGTCCTCTCATATTTCTGCCACCATCTTCGGAGATTTTGCATTCAGCATTGCCTCAGGCACACTGCCTTTCAGCTTTTAAGTTCTCTTCCTCTCTGGTGGTGTTCTCCACTGGAGTACACAGAACCCTCTTCACATTCCTTTGTTGAGATGCTAGCTTTTTTTGTTGTTGTTTTTTTTTAATTTATAGAGCATTTTACACTCTCCTATGAAATTATTTGTAAAAATCACCTGGCATATTGTATTTAATAGCGAGAAGCTGACTGTTAGTAATGTGTTCAGACAAATTTTACACATTGATCTAGCATGTTTTGTGTAATAGCAAGCTGAAATAAAATTCCCAATTCTGCCTTTCTATTTGCAGAAGGCTTTGTTTAGAAACATGCTACCTCCCTTACACATTTCTTAGCTGTTCTGTGCAAAACAAATTATTTTCAGATGTGTTTCAACTAACAAAGTCAATTATATAAAGTGTTGATTTCACCCTTTGAATCAGAAAAAAGTTCTGAAGTTGAGGTCCTTTGGTGGGGACAGTTTTTTTAATTATTATTTTAAAATAAAGAAATATTAAACTGGTTATATACCTAAAATTCAAATTAATTTATTCTGGTTTTGTATTACATGCTAATGGAGAAATGTCAGCTCCTTTAATCTAAAGCTATTCTTATTTACCAAATATATTTTCTACAATGCAATCATAGAAATATGCAATGTTCAGTTACTCTTACTAGGATTACTTTTTCATTTTTAGAATCGTAGTTTCACATTAGAAGCAGTTCCACCTAAGAACGATTATGCCTATGTTGTTTCACGTAAAATGGATGTTTAAATACAATGCAAACTATATTAGTTACATTTTTATTATTCTTTATCCATTTACATGTTAGTACTGACATCAGAAATCCATGTGCTTCAAATCCACTTAATTCAACCCAATTCTATGGAAGGATGATTTTATTACAGCAATCACTTGAGGCACTTGGTCTTGACTTTGCATATTTGTCCTGCAGTGGAATTCAGAAACACAAGTGGTAGGGATGACCCATGTCCAATTTGTGTCATGAAGTTTTGAGAGGGAATTTTTATGATAGTGGTTCTTGTTCAACAGGGGCTTACATATCGACTGTGGAGAAAATGTAAAAATTAGAGTTTGCTCCTCCTTACTTATGTCTTGACATTAACACATGGTTTGAAAAATATTTTATTCTCATTTCCTTGAAGGCAGTTTGTTTTCTTTTTGTTAGAAGGTGACTATTTTGAAGACCAGAAGCTTTGCTACAGAAAGTATACAAAGGCTCAGAGAAGATGTTTTAATTTTACATTTTGCTTCTTGAAAGTAGTAAGACAATTTCACAGTTTGAAAGAGTAAGCTTCCTGGATGTTTCTTAGAGAAATTAAGTCTGCTACATTTAGGACTTACATCTTCCATCAGTAGCTTGCATGCCATCTTGATTTAAGGAGTGCTAATACCACCAGTGAGGTCTTACTGCAAATTTAGATTTGTATTCTCTGATCCATAACTCATGTGATAGACCAGCTACTTTTCTCCACATGAGCCACTTTACCTGGGTCATTATTCAAAGTGTAATGCAACTTGGGCAAATTGGATTAGGTATCTAGTTTATGTTTCTGAATGTTTGCTTTACTGTAGTTCCACCTGGGGTGCATCCTGTTTAATCTAAAAAGAAAATGTAGCAATCATCCTAGCTGAACTGCCGAAGACTGTTTTTATTCAAAAGCTTTGTATGAATATTGTTTATTTTTCTTGTAAGATTTTGGAGTGTTGATTTTTCTGTTCCAGTAGCCTCCATATTGTTGTAGCAATCCAGACATCCTAAATCTATGAACTATACTGTTGGCAAAATCCATAGGTAGTTGCAAAGGGGCAGCTTTGCTTCTTACTGCCAGTTTGTGTTGAGGAATATGCAACGAGAGAGGGTTGAGAAGATAAGCATGAAGCTGATATATCCTGTATATGGATAAGTACAGGGAAATTTCAGCAGTATAAAAAGTATGTTTAATTTGTTATGCCAGCAAGAATCCTGGTAAACTGTAACTGTCCAGCTAGAGGCCAGCTGCATGATCCTCATGAAATGTGTCACAGCAGGCTTACATGATGTTTTGAGTTGACAGGCATGAATAAACTCTCCTGTAGGCAGTCTGATGCTTATTAAATAGAAATTTTGTTTTAATCTTATATAAAGTCAAATGTTTACCCTTTCTCATTTCCTTAGTTGTCCTTGTGCTTCACCTGGTGGTGAGCCATTTGATACAAGAGTAGAAGTTCATAACCAAAAGTATTAAATGAAACCCTATTTGGTTAATCTGATTAATTGCATCTTTAAAAAAAAACAACAAAACAATTGGCTTCTTTGAGTTCAAAACAGAGAGTTATACTCTGTTCCAATATAAAAGACAAAAAGAATAGTTTAAATCAAGATCAGATGTCAGATTTTCCATTTATATGTTCCTTAAGGAACTAATTTTCACTGGATTTTCCCTTTCTGGTTTTGCTTGGATTTTATTTTTGTAAGTAGCATACCAGATATTATTGTCACATAGCTCTCATTGCAATCCATTGTCGTATCCAAAACTATCTCCTTGTGACTGGGCTGAAAATTTTGCCCAGGGTGCTACATATGCTATATTTACCAAAGAGAAAGAAAAAAATAAAATCTGGTATATCTGAAAAGAACAGAGAATTCATTATATATATTTTTCTGAAAAAAATCAGTGGATGCTCCTTTTTCTAAGATGAAAGACAAATGAACTGATACACTGTGTCATAATTATCATGCCTTCCCGATTTTCAAATAAAAGTATATTAAAAGAAACACTAATTTGGAGTCTTACATTTGAAATTAATTGTCTTGCAGCAAATTTTTTGTACTTTAAACATCTACACCATTTCAAAGATTAAAGAAAATTAGTCCTGGCATCTTTCATTAATTTTGAACTGCAACAAGAGGAAATGTGGGCCTAATTTCATTTGTATGGATTAAGAAATGTGTCAGTTTTTCCATTCTGTCTCTCTAGGGCATTTTTTTACTGCAAGGCCTGTCATGATGACATCACAGATCCCAAAAGGATAAAAAAATGTGGCTGCAAACGGCGTAAGTAATATTTCTATCACTCCCTCTCCTTTTCATGAACTCTTCAGCCTTGAAGAATATCTGTACATGTGTTTACATGCTTTACACAGAGGTGCAGAAAAGACAAGAATCAAATGCACTGCAATGTAGTAAGTGACAGTCGCATTTCTGAAGTCCATGTATTTTTATTACATTTCACACCACTCATGTTTCTTCATTAGAAAGTCCATTGGGGTCCAAAGCTAGATAAACCTGAAGAATGAAATCTAGCTAGGTCTAGTTGTAAACATTTCTGAGTTAGGAATGAGCTAACAGTGAAGTTCTGCTTTCATTCATATCATGCAGAAATCTAGTAATTTCAGTAGCTTTCTGTGAAGTGACGAAATTTCTTCTATCTTGCTGAACGTAATTTTTTAAAAGAACAAATTAGAAAATAATTTTCCATTATATAAATATTTAAATAAATGATCGGTTTTACTGGAGGAAGGGATTGTCTGGAAGAAATGAAATATTAGTGCCTCTTAGGTATATATTTTTAGAAAATTCCATAGCTGTAGTGCTAATATTTGGTTTAGTTGAGTTCTTAGGTCTGCTCTTTAAGTGGTTTTGAAAACTTCAAATTAAGACATAATCGAGTTTTGGAATGGAGATCAGACTTTTCATCTGTATTTTTATAAATATATATATAGAAATTATTATTTTATCAATATATACTTTGAAAGGACTTTTTGCAGGAGCTACGTTTTGGCCGAAGATGTATTTGACACATGTGTAATTGTAATACTGATGTCAAAAGGATTCAGGGATTTTTTTCTCAATGGATATCTGAATATTTATGTGCATTCCATGGTATTCTGCCATGAAAAGGATCACTCAGTTCAAAAGTACTGGTTAGGTAAATTGAAAGATCTCAGAATAGTTTGATTATGACTATTTTACCGCTACTTTTAAAAAGGGAAAAACCCTCTTGTTGTTTGGAGATCCAGTTGCAGTGTTATCACTGCACTTTCTTAGAAGAATGAAGTAAGCCTAAACTGCACCTTCTCTGCCTTTATGGGTGCCTGAAATTTATGAAATCTTGATAATCATAACAAGAAAAAAATATGTTCTGGAGTTTTTAAAGAAACTCCTCTACCTGAAAAAACAAACAACAACAACAAGCAAACAAAAATCAGTAATGTGGAAAACAGCTGAAACACTGACAAAAAATGATATTTATCCTCCCAGTAGCAAAAAGGAGAGCAAAGCACATGAAAAGCATGCTTGATATGGAAGGAACATATGCATTGCCTAACATATTGGAAAACAATATTGTTCAAGAACAGTATGTCCATGTGAGAATTTGACTTTTGAACTGCTGCCAAAGCCATTGAGGCTGCTGACTAAGATCTGGTAAAGCCAAGTACAGATGCCTCGGGTTGCCTATAATTCTCAAACTCTTTTCGCGCCCCTCCCCCAAAATTGCCCAAGAGTTAGAGAAATGTTACCTGCTTTATTTTCTGTTGGGTTTTTTTTTTGTCAAAAAAGACCTATCTGCATTTTCTTCTGTACTCTTCCTTCACATAGTGTATGCTTTTCACACATGCTGATTAAAAAGAAAAAAAATAATAATTAAAAAAATCCCAAAGATTACTTACTTTAAAGTGAGAACTACTATTTTAATTTAAATTTGTTGGAAGATAGGAATCAGGAATTCAAGTATAAAGGGCAAGAGCCCTTTATTAGACAGTAATACAAAGCAATGTAACCTCCTCAGTACTAGGAAAGCAGAGAGGTATCCTGTGACCCAGCCAACACAGTGGATATATTACCAGCAGTAGAGTCATGGAGAGCTCAGAGTGACAATTGTGTGTAGCACTAGGTAATGTTACAAATGGCATGGTCACACCTAGCAGTCCAAAAAATGGAAGGGTGTTGGACAGGTGAAGAAACAAAATGATGAGGTTGATGAGTTTAGTGATGTCGAAGGAGGAGGCCATCAGAGCTGCTGGGATGAGTACTGAACATTAAGGAAGAAATCCTCTGAGTTAGGTGAAATAGAGAAAAAAAATGCTCAGTGAGAGAAAAATCTTAAATTTTCCTTTCATTGTTTCCAATCTGCCTTCTCTCCTTTCCTACATATGCACACATGTGGTCACAGACACCATGGTACCTGGCAGCACAGCTTCTTGTGAGTGTGCTCACAACTATTTGGAAGAATACAATTGCTTTGCTTCAGAAAAAAAAAAAAAATTAAAAAAAAAATCAACAGTAATTAGTTATTTTTGGTCTCTCAAATTTTGAGAAATATCTTGAGATCTCTTTTATGGGACCTGATTTTTTTAAAAAGGTAAGTCTTTAGTGAAGTCTGTTATTCACATGAAATGTCTTAGCTTTAGCTTTCAAATCACTAATCACTTTTGAAAATCTTAGCTATATTATCCATCTCTAAGCTACACAAACAATTGGTCTTATGCATGTAGTCTAACCAAAACAAAGCATAAATTAAGAAAAATCTTTCATTATTGAATTAGGAAATTGTCAACTGATCTGTCAAGAGCTAATATGTTAGTTTGATTTTCAAAGACACTGCAAATAGTCATACACACATACATGTAGTCCTGTATGATAAATATATTTTTAATTAGCAAGTAACATAGCAATTAGAGGCAGCTGAATGTAGAAAATGTATAAGATGAAAGGTTGTGTGTAAAAATATTGGCACATTCAGGTGGATTAAATGTGAAAGAATATCTTCACGTGGAAAACTTAATTATGGTGGCATTAATTAATGTAGCTTCCTGTGACACTTGAAAGCCACATTCTTTAATAATGCATCTGAGGTTGCACATCAATTTAGATACTGTCCGAACATTAGCTTGTGGTATTGTTGGGGTCTGAGTCTGAGTCTGACCTACAAAGCCATTTATCCAAACCTGCTGGGCCTAATATTTGTAATTCAGGGCAGATACTTCCACAAGGACAGGGATAATTAAAGCAATCTTGCTTTCCTTTTGCAGTTTTTTTGCCATCCCTTTCTCCTCACGTATCCCACTCCCTGAGTAATGTATGAATGATGATGTCACATTGTCCAAAAAAATGCTTGAGTGGAAATTTTATTCACAGATGGTTAATTTTTTTTTATTGTTTTCAACCTCTTTCCTATTCCATTTAACTGTAGCGTTTGCAGCAAGGGGCCAAATACATGTATATATTAATATAAAATGCAGCCACGTTGGGATAAAATCTCTAAACTGGATAACCTACTCCTCCTGTTTCTTTCATTTTGTGCAACAGCTATGGTCTAATTCTCTCTATATTTTTTCCAGTGACAGTGCTTGCTGTGAATGGTGGGGGTTGAACCCCAGAGGGTACATATCATGTGTACATTGATGTGTTTGAAGGAATTTCTTGTAATCTGTAACAATTGACAAACTTTTGATTTATTTTTCCTCTTGCTGCCTTGGAACACGGCCCCTACTATATTTTAACTGCACACTGATAGTGATCTATTGTGAGTAAAAATGGGTTCCCTGTAGCCCGGAGTGCGGTCCAACCTGTCTTTCTCTAGCAGAGAGTATTTTTGTTCAGTATTTTGGTTCTTTTCTTCATTTATGTTGCATGTAGCAGTGACGTCATAACCACAACTTTCTCATTGTTTATACCCATGGATATTAGGATGACGAAGAAAATACAGCAGTTTTCCCCTCTTCCACCTTCCCCCACACACTTTTTTTTCACACAGCATTATCTTTTATCCCTATTTGAAAATGAGATCTTGGCAATGTCACTTCCTTGAAGTGATTCTAGAGATATCTCATGAATCTTTAGGGATATCAGTTAGGCTGGGGTAGTTACCACTATAGCACTGTTTACTTGGTAAAGTGCAGTTCATTGTCAGACCTGTTTTCAATTTTTTTTTTCACTTTCTCTTTTCCAGTGCATAGCTGACACAAAGTGCAACACAGCAGTTTTTTACTGTTCTTATCTAACTCCTTTGTCCTCATAAGTAAAAAAAAGATGAGGGTAAAGCTAGACAATTAATTAAATATGTGCCTAGCTTCTTATGTATAAACCTACAGATGAAACAAGCTACAGTGATTATTTTCCCCAGCTTGCTTGGTTTCAAATGAATTGAATGAGTAGAGACACACTAACTTGTCAAGACCTAAGCTGTAAAGTTTTAGAATATGAACTTTATAGACCACTTCATGTCAATCTGTCATGCCACTTTAAAGTGTACAGAATCTATGAAGACTCTCATCAGCCACTTCTAGTGCATCGAGTTTTGATAATTTAAATAAATACAACATTTGCTATTTAGGAATGCAAGCACTGCAAAGAAGTGCTGGTTGTAGGGCAGTGTTGAGATTAAATGGGCTTGTTCTTCCAAAGAGTAAGAGGGATCAAATATTTAATAGCTGCAGTGAGTCATTACTGTACCAGATTAAGGCTGCTAACCATGTTGAATAACTGCAGCTATTTGAAGTGAGACTTTTTCAACATCTTACCAGATACTCCAAATTCATTGTGTGGTAACACTTGAGGTCCTAATCAGGATTGAGATATTTTTTCCCTCATCAGCAGGACACACCATAGTATCTTGCAAAGAATCAAGGAAAAGTTGACACTCCCTAGCTTGCATGAAAAGCTGCTAGCCATCTTGGAATTGTGATGGTCTTAATTATTATAATTATTTACTATTTCTCTTTTCATGGTGCCTGCAAACTACACCAGAAGATTGAGATCCTGCTGTGGTAGAATGTGTTCAAACAGAGAGAAAAAAATTTGCCAGATCTCTTTTCAGCCAAATAGAATACCTCACCAGAAAGATGGAGCAGAACAAAAAAAGCAGATTTTCGAACAGGTCAGCATGATGAGAATCGATACTTAATAACAAACCAGAAAGATACCAATTTCTATGCATAAGATAATGAATCCTATTGACTTTGAGGCAAAAGCCTGGAAGTAATTTGGATTTACTTGAAGCAAGGTATTTATTTGAAATATGTTTCTATGTTGAGGTCTTTCTGGGCCAGAGAAATTAGTTTAAAAAGTAGTGAATGTTAAGAAAGTTTAAGAAAAAAAATCACATAGATTTGATTTGGTTTCTTTCCATTTCCCCAATAGCTTCAGTTTGTTCAGAAATGCAGTTAGGCTTGAGAGTACACTGGCTGAGAGGCTTAAAGGTGATGAAGGAAAGGTCATGATCAGATTTTAAAATTAAAATGAAATGGTCTATAAATGTGCCATTACTTCAAAATATATGAGTCATTCTTACAGCTACTAAAATAGGGCAGAACATCCACTCAGGTCACCAGCTGTTTCTACAATTTTGACAAAGAACAGCACAATATGAATTATGGCAAACAACTAAACCAATTGCCTTTGATTGCAAAAGTTGCAAGTGAACAAACTGACTTGGTGGTCTTGAAGTTGTTCTGTAAAAATTAAACAAAGGACAGATAGCTTTACCTGTTGTGTTAAGATGAAATAAATGTTCACAAACAGTTTAAGATAAGCTGCTGTATTTTTTCAGGAAACTGAAATTGTGCGAGGGGAAGTCCTTTCAATGCTAACCAGCATTGCTGTAAGGCAATTAAAACAGTCTGGTCGACCTTTAATGCTGCTGTTATTTTACTCAAAATATAGATAATGAGAACTTGATGAATTGAAATGCCACTGTATGCATTTCAATTCTTAAGTGTAGTGGGAACTTTTTTTTAACATTTGCTGGTCAAGAAATCTCCAGTTCGTCTTCTTAACCAGCTGTTATCTCAGATTGATCCACTAGATGTCCTCGCAGATCTACTTTTAGTTACCGTCACAAGGAAAACTGCTCTAGTGATGGGTTGAATACGAGGATTGGGTAGACTTTTTTTTTTTTTTTTTAAAAAAAAAAAAAGAAAAGTCAGCGAAGATGAAGAGAGACTTTTTTCTGATTGCTGTTCCTTGACATGTTAGATAAAGAATAAACTGCAGTGTCCTTTGCTTATTTTTGCAGCTGGAAATACTTCCCATTACTGTTTGTGAGCCCTAAGCAACACCTCAGATCCCAGACAGTCTAGAAATTTTGACTGGGCTTTTTGAGTTTTAGAGATCAGAAGGCAAGGTACTGTTAGGTGCCTAGACATCTAAGGCACGTTTCTTCCTTATTAGAATGTAAGGCTGTTGCATTCTGAGAAAAAACTGCAATAATAATTATTTTTTTTAAAGTATTTACTTTAAAATAATAGACAGAAAATTTGCTTTGCTTTTGCTCTTAACAAATCAGAAAATGAGTAGTTCATATATTCTTTGTTTTGTCAGCAAATTATTTAAGTATTCTGATTTCTGTGTCTATGAAAACTTTCCCTGAAATTTTTATTAATTCACTTTACAAATTCTAAGTAGTAGGATCTGCTCTGCCTTTTGTCCGTTTATTATTTAAATGAAATTAGGAAAATAATTTCCTTTATATCCCAACTTACATTTCAAATAACGTTTTTTTCAAATAACTTTAGTTTCAAATAACATTCTATTTAACATCCAAAACATTTCTATGAATATAAATTAGTTGATTCTTTAGCAGGTGCTAGAGGTGTCAAATGAATTTAACACCCACCCACAGGCTTTTCTTAAGGTCCCCCTTTCTCTCTGATGATTCCCATTTTTTGTTAATGTTTATAGAAGTTTTATAGGAAATGGTATGTGTGTGGCTGAACCATTTAAATTCATTTCTGTCTTGTCTTTGGTCTTGTCACTAGTCATCTCTACTAATAATCCATGTTTTGTATTACTTAAAAGAAAAGAAGTATTTTGTTTGGTATGAATGTAATAATGACTGTACAAAAGGAATGATGAGTAACAGCATGTTTTCTTTTCAAAAGATGTTGCTCTGATATGTGATTGCTTATATACTGGTTGAAATCCTTATAGCAAGTTCTTTTTGCTACTTACATTTCCAGGTCTAAGGCTGTTTCCTGCATGTTAATGATGTGAAATATGAAAATTATGCATGTTCTTTATAACAACTGGTAATAATAGTTTAAAACAGTCCCTGAAAGGGCATTGATTTTGAGAAGTGCCATGGAGTCCTTTCTCTATTGAACAGAAGGGCTTGAATTTCCCAGTTCATTGATTTAAGTCTGATGAAAATGGTACAAAACTTTTCCTTCCCAACCCTCTCTGCCCTTCAGTATGATTTCTCTTAATTTTCATAAATGTGTCCTATCCTATTATTAACTGTTGACAACATATGGCTACAAGTAAATGAAAACCAGGGACTGTTCAATGACATAGCAGTTGAGAATTTCAGACCACTGTGTTTTGCTACAGCGTTTGATTAGAAAAAGTCCTTCAAAACAGCTATAATTAAAACAAAATGGGCCTGCCTTTTACCTCACCTACTGTTAGTGTCTCACAAATGTCTTTTATTTTTCTTTCATTTCCTTAAAGTGAAAATAATAACATAGGCATAATGGAAAGACTTCCATATTTTGGTAACATATTTAACTTTTCTTTTACTGCCCAACTTTTCAATTTTAAATAATGTGTTGGAAAGAGTTAGGCAGAGGGAAACCATGGGAAAACAAATGCTGTTTTGAATTTTCTGTGTGATTTGAATGTGAATGCATCAAAAGCTGCCATTGAAACCTTCTTACTAAAAGCCAAGCTCTGAGGAATGATGTACCATGCAATGAACAAGCCTGATGCTGCATGATGAATTTCTGAACAGCTGTAAGATAATCTACTAGGATGCTAAAGGAACATGGCATTAGTCATGTGAGCAAAATTTTAGAGGAATGGAGTTGCTGCTGAAGAGATCACTCATTCATCTCCCTCAATGCCTGTTTTCCACAATCATAATGTGACCCTTGCTTGACAAGTACACTGTATGGCAAGTCATCAAGGCCTTAGAACAGGACTTGACCCATTTGAGTCATTTCAATCCCTCTTCCCTAGTGACTGTGGCATTAAGAAACTGAAAAAAAAAAATAAATATTAAAAATTAATGTCATTACCATAACGCAAAAAAGACATCCTAAACTGAAGGTACAGGCCAGAGAAACATTACCTTTTTTTCTGCACTTGCTTTTAAGGTTTTGTTTTTCCCTGTCTGTGTTCTGTTTTGTTTTGGGTATAATTGAGTCAGTTCAATCTAAACCATTACCAAAAGTGTTGGTTCAGTTCAACATGTGAAACAATCTAAGTGGCCTTTGCAGTCTTCAGACTTTAAAATAGCTGTGATTCAGGTAATATACAAAATTTAACAATGGTAATTAAAAATGCATTTGGAAAATATGATGCTGGATATTTCTAGAAAGATATAATAAGGACATACCTATGACTGAAGGATATAAATAGTCTATTCTAATCTGGTATTCTTTTTGGAATTAGGCCCAAATTCTATATTCAGTGATTTGGTTCTCATCTACCTTTGAATCCAGAGGAGAAAACATGCCAATGATTGGTTTAGCATGTTTCAGTGGACCAATGCTCTGTGTGCTTTTGGTGATGCCTTACTTGTGAACTGATTTTAATGTGAAGCATATTAGTTGTGTCTCCTATATGGGCAAATCTTGGTATTCTGCCAAGAGTTGATTTGAATTCCTGAAGATATAATGTAAACAAAGTAATTTTTTTAGAAAAAAATTAACATCTTTTAACTCTTAAGTAATGTGTATTTTATTGCAATGAAGGAGTTCCCTGGCACAGTTTAATACAGAGGAATATGTTTAAGAATATATTTTTATATATGTATATATACGTATGTGTATAAAGTGTGTGTGAGTGTGTGTATGTAAGAATATATGTGTATGTGTGTTTTTGTATGTGTATACATACATGTATATATAGATATATAAAAGTCTTTCATTTTTACAGGAAGCAGGGTAAGCCAAAAAGAACAACTTCCAATTTTTCTTTTCTATTTTAGCCCAATAGTATTAATTGTGCCATGGGACAATTATAGTCTTAGGGTTCTCTGCTTTTACTATGTTTTTTTTGATCCAAACACTTGACTGTAATCAGTAATTCTTCCTCATGTCTGCGGTCACCCCGTAAGACTGAACAGAAATAAAAAGCAATTTATCTTTTGCCCTACTTTTAATGTACAGCCAAAGTGTTATCAATAATCTCATTACATTTTTTTATCCTGGGTCAAGACTGTTAACATAAACTAAGGCCTGTATTAAATTCCTTAAATTACCTTCCAGCTGCCTTGTTATATATATATATAACCTTGCCATTAACCTGCTGCTCTTCCTCTCCTCCCATCCAACACATGGTTATAGCCAAGATGTCCATCTACAAGAGAATGAAACTGGCATGTTGTTTTGATTGCGGACGCTCTGAGCGTGACTGCTCTTGCATGTCAGGCAGTGTACATAGTAACATGGACACCCTTGAGAGAGCCTTCCCACTTTCTTCTGTCTCTGTTAATGATTGCTCCACCAGTTTACGTGCCTGTAAGTTTTAACACCAACACATGCTGTTCCATGTCTGTGGTGTCTGTGATGTCATCTCCATCTCGTGTCGTACATTGTAATTCTGTGAGTTTTACTGGACTGATGCTTTTTTAGAACGTCAGACCCAAATTTTAATATAGATCTTTCTTCATATTTCTGTTGTAATTTATTTTTAATATGAAAAATATAATTCCGTTTATTTGCTTTGTCTGCTCTTTATGAAGCATGCTCTTACAATAGCATGCAGGACTTCAGTAGTGCAGTTTTTTTATTTAATTCATGCAATATAAATTGTCATTAATTAAACAATAAGTATTTCAGTGGAGAAACAGGCCTGTGTCTAAATTTCTGGTGCTAAGTGGACAGCTTGAATAGTGCCGGCACTGGAGCAGCATAACATAGGCAGTGAATAAATATAGAGGATACAGCTAAGTAACTGGACTGTTTTCTTAAATTCAAATTTATACTGCTACCATTATCTCTAGTTTTGTTCATAAGCCTTCATTCTTGATAAGGCAGGACCTTCCATCTGATACTGAAACTGCAAGAATCTTAGAAAAAATGCTTGTGCTATTTGTAGTGGTTTTTTAAACCCATAGGACAGTACCATTCTGAATTATGCCTCAAAATCTCTTTACTATTGTAAATCTCAAAAAAATAGTCAATCTCTTGACTATTAAAGTCAAGAGTTCAGAGGGAGAAGACAGAGAAGTTAGAGCAATTCTGCATAGCCATTAAATTCTTTGGGCAGGCAGCAGGGATTCCAAAAGCTTCCTTTATGAACGTGATGTCAACAATTGATTGTCAAATAAAATAGTGATTTTTAATTTATTTCATTTTCTTGTCCTTTTCAGACAACTGTAACAGGCAAAACTATGTCTTGGGACAGGAGCTGCTTTCCATTACCTAACCAAAGAAAAACTATAAAATTAATCAGATACATCTATAAGCAATATTAGGAGTTTTCAGGAGGAAGAATATCTGCTTTACATTGCAAGTCATCACAGATAAAAATGCCTTCCACTACTGAGAGTATAATGTAGTTTGTAGATTACGCATCTAGTTGCCTTTTGTGTTGGAGTACATAGTCCAAGTGGTGAATGGTTTTAACTATTTTGACATTTGAAGTATTTTTCAGACACAAATGTGGAGTGTTTAACAACACTATTATTTTTGTTAGCATTTTTGTGTCTGAAGACTGTCAGTTAAACTGATAGGATTTCTAGAGCTTTTACCAGCAATCTTCTCTTTATGTACGCATATAAGCACTCTGAATGTCCTTTTTATCCGCTTGCTTGCAAGAAGTGTATCACCTCAGGGGGAGGTGGTTCACAGTGTTAAGTCCTACTCCGCATTACAGAAGGTTTTATCCTCAAAAGAGA